TGTAGCTCAGAATTTGTTCCACGGCTAATTCCTGTAGTCCAGAATTTTCCCCATGGCCAATCCCTGTTTCCTATCAGACATCTGGGTCAGAAGTTCTCTGCAGTGTCTGTGGGCACTATAAACTAAATTTTAGGTGTCTATCAGTAGATCTTTAACTTAGATTAGGAGCTGCAGTGATAGTTCCTGTTGGATTAGCAGAGGCACATAATGAATTCCAAAATCCTGCAGTAACGTGTTGTGCTCCTGGCTATTAGCCTGGGTTTTAATTAGTTTGTGCTAATGAATATATTTGTACATGTCCATCTTTTATTGGCAGCTTTTACAGGAGTAGTAAATTGGTCACTGTGGAGTGCCAGTTGCACTAAAACCTAAGGAATAATTAATGCTTTCTCCACCTAGAGTCAACCAGCAGTCTCAGGGGGTTTGAGGTATAAATTAGAATGAAAGATGAGATACTCAAAATACAGTTAGAGAACTCATTCATCAGCAGTGATTAAATAATGTCACTGTGAGACCCTGGAGAAGTGCTGAGAGCTGATTTCCAGCTCTGGAATACCCACACCAGGTCCCAGGAGCTGCCAGAGCACCCTGCCTCATTTTTTTTTTTTTTTCCACTGTGACTTTCAAAATGCCTTTTCCATATCCAGTGCTATCCAACTTTCTTCTGTTCTTGGAAATTCCTCCTTGGAAAATATGTATTTTTCTCAGTCTTTCCTATTCATAACCCACTGTGGGCTGGGGGAAAAATGAACCAATACTAACAGTGTTTGGCTAAAGTAAATGCTTCCATCAAATCCAGTATCCTGGCTAACAAAATCCTCAAGCCAGAAAATATTTGGATGTTTTCACATCCATATTTCTACAGATGAAATGGCTGGCTGTGAGAGCTTGCACAAGGTGGTCAGGATAAAACAAATCTGAGTAAGGATGGAGTGGCTTGAGGTAAATTTAAGGAAAAGTTAAATGTCCAGGTACAAACCAGACATTTGGAAATGAGCTTCCACTTAACTCCAGCGATAGACAAAAAACTGTTATATTTTTGATTTATTTTACTATAGTATATTTATTATTTTGTGATGTTAGTATTACTCACAAATTCCTCAGCCTTGAGAGAGCTAAGCAAATTAGAAGCCTAAATCAAATTAAGATCTATGAACAACAGGCTCTCCAGAGAAGGTCCTTCTGGTAAACACAAAAAAATGTCACCAAAAAATCCATTTTTCTCTGTTGAGAACAAACAGAGCTTTAGGTCTCTTACACAGATGTGCACCCAAAGAGCCAGACATGAAGAATTTCACCCCAAACTTACAGAGAGAGGCATAGGAACCCAAGACACATGTTGGGCTTTGAGACACCCCTCTCTTCATTTGGACAACAACCTAAGCGTTTTATAGAAGGTCCTGGAATACTTTGAGCACAGGGAGGTGTTGTGCTGGTTCCTGCTGCAGCATCTACTTCCTTCCTGCTTTTTGTTCTGGCCACCAGTTCAGCAAAGGACCACATTTTCATCATGTCTGTAACACTCCTGCTGTTCTAAATTCTGGTGCCTGCTTACACAAGGGAGCCTGATAACACCAAATTACAAGCTAATTTTGGAGCATCGAGCTAAGTGCCTGAAGACAGCTGTGTGCTACAAATTAAAATCTTAAAAACCTTCAGAAAAAAAAATATGATTAATCATTTACCGATTGCTAACGGAGGAGCTCTTAAGTAGGAAAGTATTTTCATTCCATTTACAAACCCAAATCAGAAAAAAACTAAAAGCCTGTGGTGTGAAGTAAAGCAGGTCTGTGTACAGACAAAAAGAAAAGTGTTGTTTCCACAACAGTAAATCCTGGTAACCACTGTTGGGCATTGATTGTGTTCCTCTTTCATTTTTCACTTCCACTAAATTAAAAAAAAACTTGCTGCTCAGCTCTATGCAGCTCTTGTAGCCCTTTAGTTATGTGTTGTTAGTGTTGGGGAATGTGGAGAGATTAATCTCCAGGTTGTACCAGTCAGCCCAGCTCCATGGATTCCCAGTGTCATATTCCAGCTCCCAAATCCCACTGACTCCAGTCCTGACACACCCCAAACCACCCTTGCTGATGCAAGAGCAGATTCATTTCAGAGGCAACTTTAGAGGTGTTAGCAAGATTATTGAGGGGCTGGCTTGAGCTGTGTCCTCCCTTTGGATCAGCACCAGCATCAAAGTAGAATTAAAGGCTCCTGCTTCCAAAAAAACACATTTTCCAGGCACTGCACCTTTGTGGAAGGCAGCCAGTCACGTGCCAGTCAGGGAAAGAAGGCTCCTTCTCCCTGGTGCACAGTCAGGCAGCTCACTGATAATTACAGACTGATTTCCAGAAGAAATATGGCACTTGTCAAAGACATCATTTCAATTCTGTCTTTCCTTGTTAACACTTGATGGAAACTCCAGCATATTTATGACTCATCCAAAAGGCAAAACCCACCAAAGCATCGCCACAGCTTTATTTTCTTTTGCTTAATTTAATTTTTTATTCATTTCTAATCACTGACTTTTTTCGACCTTGGCTGATTTTCCGGACAGTTTCTCAGAAAGGAGCTGGGCTACCACCACCTTTCAGGTGTTCAAATGCCCACTTGAATGAGGCACCTCATGATGATTTCCTTGGGCTTCTCCTGATCTCAATACTGCAGGAATGCTGCAGTTCTTCTGCCTTCTACCTCCTGCAAAGGAGCAGACTGTGAGGGACCATATAGAAATATATATAACTCCTATACATGTGTTCATCTCTCACATTTTTAGAAATGCAGCCGGATTTTTGGATGCACTGGCTTTGAGAACATTGCATCCACGCAGGCACACAAGGTTCCCAAGCTGTGTGCAGGCACTGTGTGCAAAACAAAGATCCCATAAATTAATCAAGTTGTTCTCCTGGCAAGCTGGAAAGAAAGAGGTGGACCAGGGCAAGAATTGTTATTGTTATCTCTATTTTTAAATACTTGGAAGACTCTCAGTTACTATGGTGGTGAGGACCATATAAGTACCTAGACGGATTCATTGGTAGCACGAGTATTGTGTGAAGATTCTCCATGTCAAAGGTACCAGTTAATAGAAGCTTTATATTTTGAAATAATTTCCTTTTTTTTAAGTCCTTAAAAAGCAGGTTTAAAAAGCTGTAATTTTTATTCTATGCTTGTGCTGTTCTGCTCCATATTTTTTTTCCTTGTGGGACTTCTGCATTAAAAAAAGAAAAAAACAACAACAAACAAAAGAAACCCAAAACATGCAAGAAAAAGCTGCATAATTAACATTATATAGCAACATACTGACAGATATCCTTTCTGTGGATAGTGCTATTTTCTTTGTGTGGGAAGATGGACTTATTTGGGAGTCACGAGAGTGGTTATAAATGATACACAAAATGAAAACTTGTGGGGAATTCCAGAGCCAGGGCACAAGCCAGACTACAAGAGCACTGCTGTTAATTGATGACATTTTTAATACAATCTTTTTTTTTTTTTTAAAGATTCTTCTGCCTAAACTTTTAAAAAATGAAAGCTCCTCGTTACCAGATGAGGTGCAGCTGTAATGCACAGTGTCAAAGCCAACTTGACAGATAACAGAAAAATAAGAACAATATCTACTCTTTCAGAAATATGACTTCAGTTTGGATCAGACATTGATTAAACTCCCCCAGAGGCTCCTCTCCATGAAACCAGATGGTCACTGCACATGGACAGCATACGTGGGTGTAGGTGAAGTTTCAGTGCAGAAGGTGCCCACATTATCTCAAACACACATAAAAATCATCACTTTAGAAGTTTTGTTGCTGGATAAACACCAAAACCTGCTGATCAGAGAATTTTTGTGAACAATCCTTCACTGCCTTTGTCACCCCAAATAAATAAGCACACAGCATTCCTCTGGGGAGGACTCATGCTCATCCCTGGCCTCCAGAAATGGGAATTCACTGAGGAGAAGAGATAAAGTTCATGTATAATTCCCTTCTCTTCCTCTCAGCATCCTCTCCAGGGAAGATCTGTGAGCAATCCCAGAGCCTTGTTATTAAAGGCTCAATCTGCCTTTAGCTGAGCCCTGCTGGCTGCTGCAGGGATGGGCACATTCCTTGGGCACATTCCCTGACAAACACACCAGGATGGGCAAAGGAAGAGAACCAGGCCAGGAGAGGACCTGAGACATCTTTGGTTTGGTTCTTGGCAAACTTTTATGTGCAGCTGTCCTCAGGCAAACACCTAAACTGAAACTCAGTAGTTCCCTGCAGTGTTTTTGCCATGCCTTGAGATGGGATTCATCTAGAACTGTTCACCTGGGAACTTTTCTCCTCTCATCTCATCCACCCTCAGCTAAAGATCACAGTGTTGAGTTCTCACAGGATTTTTACACCTCTCTCTGAGCCTCAGTGATCTGTACATGACCGAACACAACTTATGTAACCATGCTGAGGGTTCAGACACTTTTGGATTTAGGCTCTGTGAAGGTGTTATGTTATTTGGTGGTTGCAGACATGTCTGGAAATGTTGCTGAGGCACAGACTTTTTATTTTGAGAGATGTGGGATGAGGTACAACAAATCATTCTCATTACACTTCCCAAATTTCCACTAGTACCGGCTAGATTGGATGAAATAGGGCAGAATTTGGCTTTGGATATAGGCTGAAAGTAGAATAAGAGAGACTCCATTACGGCGAGATTATATCCCTTGAAGCACCACTTAAAAGGGACGAGAGAATTTTAGAACACCACAATGAAAAGAGACAACAAGGCAAGCTAATTTCCCTGCCAGCTCTCAACCTATCACCCAGGAAAACTCAATATTAATTACCTTCATCCAATACTCCTCATCCTAACTTCTGGTGAGTGCTGTGGGGGTGAAATATCAGAGAGCAGCAGTTTGAAAGGGTTGGGT